AAGATCCCGGGTGTCCTCACCGGGACGTGAACCGGTGACCTTCTAGCTGCGAGGCAACAGTGCTAACCACTGAGACACCTGCAGCCCGTAGACACACAACAAAAGAACGTAAAACAACATCTGAGAAAGAAAAGCGCCAAAGATACAAAACAGACAAACACAAAGAGACTAAACAACACACAACAATCCAAAATGACCAAAATGTACACAATACAACTATGAAGACACACAAGATGCAGAGAGACACAACAACACACAAAAAGCCGCTAACAGAGACACAAAACAGCAGCAAAGAGACAGAAGACGACCACAAGGACACAGAAAGTTTTTTGTTTTTCTCTGAGTCTTGGAGACAAACAGCTGTTTTGTTTGTTTGTTTGTTTGTTTTTATGAACGGATGGTTTCAGATTTGATCGACTTTCAGAATAAAATCTCTGAAAAAGACATTTCATCTGTTTGTGTCTCAGCTGCTGCTTTTATTCTGAAAAACCAAGAAACTGAAGAGCTTTACTTCAGAAGTCCTTCGTCTGATGTTTCCTCCTTCATAGAGAGACAAGGAAGGAAGGAAGGAAGGAGGCAAGAAGAGAAGGAAAGAAGGAATGGAGGAAGGAAGAAAGGAAGTAAGGAGAGAAGGATGGAAGTAGACAAGGAAGGAAGGAAGGAACAAGGAAGGAAGGAAGGAGAGAGGAGGTAAGAACAGACGGAAGGAAGGAAGGAAGGAAGGAAGGAATAACAAAAGGGAGGAAGGAAGGAAAGAAGGCGAGAAGGATGGCTGGAATGATGGAAGGAGAGGAGAGAAGGAAGGAAGGAAGTTCTGAACACAAAAACACATGAAACAACATTTGACACAAAACACAACAAGAATCAGAAAATTACCACAAAAAGACAAAAAACTCAGAGACTCAAGAAAAAAAAGAAAAACACACAAAAGCTACAAAGATACACAAGAAAAGATACAAAAACACCATCTACACGTGTACTATGTGTACTGTGTGTGTATTATGTGTGTACTATGTATATTACATATATTGTGTGTACTGTGTGTGTATTATCCATCCATCCATTTTCTATACACCGCTTAATCCTCATTAGGGTCGCGGGGGGGCTGGAGTCTATCCCAGCCGACTCAGGGCGAAGGCAGGTTCACCTGGACAGGTAACCAGTCTATCACAGGGCTACACTTAGAGACAGACAACCAAGNGAAGGAAGGAAGTTCTGAACACAAAAACACATGAAACAACATTTGACACAAAACACAACAAGAATCAGAAAATTACCACAAAAAGACAAAAAAAGAAAAACACACAAAAAACTACAAAGATACACAAGAAAAGACACAGAAACACCATGTACACGTGTATTATGTGTACTGTGTGTGTATTATGTGTGTACTATGTGTACAATGTGTACTGTGTATATTACATATATTGTGTGTACTGTGTGTGTATTATGTGTGTGCTTTATGTGTATATTATGTGTGTACTGTGTGTGTGTGTCCAGCAGGGGGCGCTGCTGACAAACGTTTCATTCAGAACCAGTTCGTTGTTTCATAACAGACGTGATTTTTCTCTTCATCACTTTTTAACGACTTCATGTTGAATCAGAGAAACTTTGATTGTTTTTATTTACATGAAACAATAAAAACAAACAACAACAACTTTGTGTCTCGTTCTGAAGCCAAATCAGATCAAATGAAACCTGATCTCTGAAATTCATACAAAACGTTTCATCACAACAGAGTCGTTGTTAAACAACAGTTTAATTAATTATCACTGTTATTAATAAATATCACAACAATCATTTATTATTTTCTGTTGGTATAAAATTGTTCTTTTTTTTATTTATTGTAGCCGAACCACAAGTTAACAGAAGAAATAAATGTTTGTAATTTAAGGAAACGTTTTATAGACGTTTACTCATAAATATCAGACAAACCGTTGATTAGCAGCAAATCTTCATGTTTTTATGACAGATTTTACAAAAACAACAGAAAATGTTTTATTTTTAACTGAAGCTCTAAAAGTTGTTCTTGTTTGTTCTTCCTGTTTCACTGTTAATTAACATAAATATGTTTTTATTTTAATTAAGGACTAAATGAACTGCAGCATGTTTACTGTCATTGATTTAAATCTAACGTCTAGTTTCAGAGTTTAAACGTGTTGGACGGATTCAGAACAAGAATCAGACTGAATCTGTTTAAACATCAGACTTGAACTCATACGGTCACATCCTGACGGGTCATTAACGAGCATTTTAGGGTCTTTAAATATTAAATTTATCCTGTTTTTAAACCTTTTTTTAGTTTTCAGGAGGATCTCAGGTGAAGAGCTGCAGTTGCTGCTGTTCACCTGAAGGAGGCAGCGTCTCACCTGAGCAGGTGAACCTCAGACAGAAACCTTCAGGTGTGTGATGATGAACCTAAACTGGTCTCACTGGGTTCTATTTCTGTCTCCAGCGTCACACATCGACGCTCCAGTTTCTGCTCCGACTGGTTCCAGTTCAACCAGTTCACAGCGAAGCTCCAGATCAGGATCGACTGGTTTGAGCTCTGAAAGGAACCGACCTGAGTTCTGTGAAGAACAAAAGTCAGTTCTGATGATAGTTGATGTGATTTAACACAAAATCAGCTGATTAATGTAAATAATGGAGTTAAAACTCAACATCTAGTTTTATTTTATCTGAATTTAATCGACTGATTTAAACTTTAAAGACCAAATTCATCAATATGTTCATTATTCTCGTGTCTGTTATTAAATGAAGCAGAAAGATTAAATATTAAAGTTTACATCTTTTTAAAACAATAAAATCTTGAATTATTTTATGAATTTAACTAATTTAATTTTTATGATAAAAATGTACATTATGATATGAATTAACTGTTTAAATATTAACGTTATGACCTAATAATATTATTTATTATTTAGTTAACTGACAAAGAAAAAGTTTAATATAAAATCAGTGGAACAAACAAAAGCAGCGTTCAGTTCAATTTTTTATCAAGTTGATTAAGTTTTACTGACAAAAATAATCATATTATTAATTATTCTGCCACAGCTTCAAAGATGATGTTAAAAAATAAATTTAAAACTTCAAATATTAGAGATAAATGAGTAAAAACGACTAAAATGTCGCATTTATTCGAGGTTCTCGTGTTTTCAGTTCATGTTTTTTGTCTTTTTGAGCCACAAAGACACAAAAGCAGCTTCATGTTTATGTTTATTTCACATTTATTCAGTTATTATTTGGCTTTGAGTTTCAATATAATATTAAAAATACTAAAACTGCTGAAATCAGCCTGTAAAATGTCCAGTTTATAGAGTTTATCATGTTTTAGTTAAACACAGATTTACCGGACAGACCTGACAACATTATTTATGATACAAACTTGACTTATTTGGCAACTTTAATGGACTAATTAAATATAATTAAGAGCCTGCAATTTAATATACTATATAAATATATCTGATTAATTTCATTTTAAAGTGAAGACGCTTCAATATTTATTCTTTTATGTTAAAAATGTGTCTGATTAATTATTAAGGTTAAGGTCTTAGAGTTGTTCTAAAGACCTGCTGAATGTGGCTCAACGGGGAGTTTTTAATTCAAATATTTTAATAAGTATTGATCAAATAAATGTAATTTTCACAGATTCTACTTTAAATGTTCATATTTTATGATTAAATAAAGTTTTAAGTAAATCAGAGGTGATCGAGCAAAAGATCTGAAATAAAGAAACACAAAATATTATAATTTATATAAACTCAAGATGCAGCGTTTTAATGAAACTTTAAACTATAATTAAGACTCATTATAGATTGAATGTGACTCCAGTTTGATGAAAACAGTTTAAATCAGGATTCAATCAAAACATACAAATAAACATAAAAGCTCCACTAATGAAGAGCAGCTGGACGCGTTTTATTGGCTCAGACATCCGGGCAGAGCGATGGATTGATTACAGCTGATTGATTGGCTGAGGAGCTGGAGGAGGTGACGTCAGGCCGCGGCGGTGACGTCATGCCCCTGTGTCTCGGGGTGTGTTTGTTTGTGAGAGGAAGAGGCTGGTTGGATGTTGGGCGGGGTCTGCGGAGACACGGAGAGCCAGAGAAAAGCTGCGAACCGCCGCCGCCGCCGCCGCTCGGACAAACCGACCCGGACTCCCGGACAGACGGACGCAGCGGAGCGGCGCTCGGAGCGACGGACAGCCGGCAGCATGGGCCGGCGGAGCGGCCGTCGGTAGCGCTCTGATTTCGGGGACGGAGCTCCAGGATGAGCGTAGCGCTGCAGGACCTCCGGAACACCGTGAGCACGCACACACACACACACTCACACACACACACACACACACACACACACACACACACACGCAGCCGCAGCATGCACAGCCCACGCGCTCCGGTCCGTGATGCTGATCAGCTGTCAATCAGTGGGATAGATCCGCGCGCGCACACACGCTCTCTGACTGTGTGTTTGGCTGCAGAAACATCTTCAGGCCTGAAATCAGGGTTCACCTCGCGGCTGACGTCACTGATCAATCACCGAACTGATCGATAACACACACACACACACACACACACACACACACAACAGGTTTTTTGCGGCCAGCAGTTTGCAGCTGGGTGCAGATGTTGGTGCAGATGTTGGAGCCTCAGCAGCAGCAGCAGCAGCAGCTCCATTCCTGACCTTTTAAAGGAGAAACATGTTGCTGCCCTTTAAAGCTGCAGCGACGCTTAAATCCGGGTTTGTGCTGAACGACCAGCGTCCAGGATGGTTCTGGAGTCAGAAGCTGGAGGTTAGCCTGACATGGGGCCTCCAGCACCATCACCTAAAGTCTAGATATGATCTTCTAAGTCGAGTGTTTCCTCCTAAAAGCAGCCAAAAACCAAAACTTCACAAAGACCATGTTTAAGATTCAGGCCCCAAAAGCAGAAACTCGATGCAGCAGAAGTGAAACCGGCAGTCTCGGGTTTGAACTTATGTCGGTACGCTTCCATCACGGCTTCACGTGGAGACGAGTTAGCAGAAAAAAACAGCTGCTTCAGACTTGAAACAGGTCATCAGTGGAAACCAGAGTTCATGTGAAGCTCAGACACTTTATCAGCTGTTGTGGACGGAGGCCAAAAAAACAACCTGGTCGCTGCTCGCAACTAAACTCCCAGATGAAAGTTTCCAACAGAACAGCTTAGAGAACGTTGGGAGAACATTCTCTGGTCAGATGAAGGTGATTTATTTGGGCTCAGATGTTTGGTGTGAACCTGACCAGGACCACCACAGTGAGCACGGAGGTGGCAGCATCATGATACAAAGCTGCATGAGGGCAGAAGGTCACATTTCCAGACGCACCGTGAACGTCTGAGGACAGATCCTGGCTGACGAGACGAGTCCCAGTCTGCTGACAGGTGAAGAAGACGAACGTTCCACATGATCCAAAGAACAGAAGAGTTTCTAAAGAACTTAAATCCAGTAGAACAAATGACCCAACAGAGAACAATCCTCTGTGGAGGACGACACACTCCTCCGTCCAGGTGGATTGAATCCATCACTAGAAGTAAAGATGGAGGCTTCAAGTATTAAAATAATCAGCTGGACTGCTGTGGTTCCTGCTGTGGCGTCTGTTTCTCTCATAGCAAACCTGAACTATTCATCAGAACAAATACTCTACTGTCCAGCTTAGAAGTAATCCGATTACTGTAAGGCGATACAGCGTGGAGTCATTTGACATTTAAGTGATATTGCGCCGGTGTGTACTCGCTACTCTGCTATATTGTGTTTCATGCACAAAGCTGCAGCGCTGTGTCGTCTGTCGAGTGTCGACGGACAGATGAGGTGTTTGTCTTTGTTGTCGGCTGACGTGGTTTTGGTTCTGGACAGACCTCTAGAACCTCCATCAGCTTTTGGACATCGTGGCTCCTCTTTCTTTTTTCTGCAGCTGAAAGTTTTCCAGGAGAGTTTGTGAGAAATTGTGGATTTAGGAGCTGAAATCTGTCCCAGAAAACTACTTGTGTGTTTGTAGCAGCAGGATGTAGGAAGCTGTTTGAGATCCATCAACATCTTCAACTTCTCTGGGAAGCTGCACAGAAACTAACTCGTTGATCTGCATTCAAATTCTCCAGAAAATGCTTTTTTTTCCCCACATGGGCACCAGAAAATTGAGCTAAATTGAATTACAGGGTTAGTTTTTTAGGTTTTAGGTTGTAGATTTGTTCTGGAGAACTGCTCGTGTGTTTGTAGCAGCAGCGTCGAGGAACCCGATTAGCATCACATTTACCTGAAGTGTGTTATGTTTGAGTTTGAGATGATAATCGGGGAACATAAACCAGAGTGTCATCTGCGTAAAAACGGACATTTAGCTAAATTCATGCAGTATGTGACAAAGTAGGAGCACGTACAGATAAAAAGTAATAACCAGAGGTCCTCATGTAGAGCCCTGTGGTGCACCAACATTTATATTAGTGCAACCTTCGCCCTGAATGTTCGGCTTCTGTGTTTAAGTAGAGCTCCAACTGTTAGTCGACAGCTATTGAATTATTGGCAACTATTTTATTAATTGTGAATGTGAACATTTTTCTGGTTTCTTTGGTTTTTTTATGACGTATCTTCGGTTTGTGGACAAAACAAGACGCTCGTGGACTTTGAGAAACACCAATCGACATGTTTCGCCTTTTTGTTTTCTCAGTTATTCTCAGTGTTTCTAGCTTGTCATAAATGAAATAAAGTGAATTTTAGAGTTTAGAGTTGAAATCTTTAGCATTTTTCCAACAACTTTGATAGTCAGTCAGTGACTTAAGTCGTTTTTCAAGCAAAAATAATTAGAAGAATCAGTTTTTCTGTCTCTTCTATGACAATAAAGTCTCATGTTATACAACACAGGCCACAACGGTAAATAATAAAACCTGCATTTTACAACGTGTGACCATAAATTAAACTGTTTTATTATGTTTCAATCAACTGAAACTGTCATTACTTTACAGATATTAGCTGTTATTTTAGCAGTTTGTGGGATTAAAATACGACTTTTTCTGGATTTGAGCCAAAACAGTTAAAATCAACCAGAAACTAACAGAAAATGAAAAAACGTCTTGAGATCCAAACCTGCTCACGTCTGGTTTACCTGCGTTTACTTTCTGTTTCAGCAGCAGAACTTCCGTCTAAACCGGGCCACAGTCGGTCGGATCATCAACCTTTATGCTAACGGGTTTTTAATGGCTGCGTTTAAACCCTCTGGGGTCCAGTAGCGAATAAAATGTTTCTGCATTCAAATGCTGCTGAACTATTTATAGCGCTACGTGGACGTTATGGAGCTTAAGTTTTTACAGTTCCTTGTGCGTGTCGTAAAAACGTGTTTCCAGACGGTTTCATGTGGACCTGGTTCTGCACAGATTTATCGATCGAACTGGTTCAGACGTGTCCTCCTTTACAAACACAACAGAGTTTTTCAGGCAGATTTAGAATCACAGACGGGTCATTCAGACTTTTATTCCCCCAATCCGACCCGAGTCTTTAAATATTTATTATCTGCTGATACTACAGATAATACACGCTTCAAGTATCGTAGATCAGCTCTTGTACCGCCTACTGTTTAAAACCGTAGCGACCAGAGGAGGCGCCGTGTTGTCGGGGTTTAAAAGACTCAGCAGTGTCAGCATACAAATGTGCAATCATTGACTGATATGCTGCATTTATTAAGTAAATTATTCAAATTTGTAGTGAGTCAGCAGATGTAAACAAAGGAGTTGGGCCCAAATTGTGGCGGTACCATGTAAAGAAAACCCAATTTCAACATGTAACTTCTCATTTAAACATTAAAACAGAGTCAAAACTAATTCCCACCGCTTATTTAAGTGCATGATTGCAACGTAAAAATTCAAATTTACTGATTTAGATCAAAACTTTTAACATAGTTTTGATCTGTTGGGTTGACGTAGTGACGTTGCTTCGACTTAATGCGTCTTATTTAAACTCAGTTTAAGCTTGAATTTGTTTTGGTTTCAGGATTTAAATGGCGTCAAAGGCTGCAGTTCAAAATAAAAAGTTTGTCCAACAAAATTTTAGTTGTTGAATGAACTGAACAAAAAAACACAAAAAAGTCAAAAACTACCAGAAGAAAATCTAATCGGCGCAAATTCATTGATAAAATATTTGTCTTGTGTTCATGATTTTTGTAATTTAGGACACGACACATAAACTTCCTTCTGAAAAACATAAAGACACGATCATCTGTGAGAAATACTCTGAGCCCAACCGTTAAGTACGCGATGACAAAAACCCTCATCCAGCTCGTTGGTTGATTTTTAAACCAAATTATTTTCCAGCTATCGGCTTGAACCAAAGGACCATAAACACAGATTACTGCAGATATAAAGAAGCATGAACATAGATTTACTTTTTATCTGCACACATTCAGAGCAGGAACAGTTTTTAGTTTTTCTCTCTTTGATCGTAAATGTAATAAAGTTTTTTTTTTACGTGACGCTCACGGCTGCAATAAAACGAGAATCAGACCTGAAAAGATGCTTTTATGGACTCCAGGACAACAGCAGCTCCTCAAACCGACCCGGAGCCGCTAATAAACCAGCTGAAGGAACCGTTTGTTTCTGGACCAAACGAGGACATGAAGGAAGGGTGAAGATCAGCAGACGTCGGCCGGCGGCTCGGAGACTAAAATAAACTGACGGCAAAGCGCCGTGTCAGGTCCTCGTTGACCTACCAGGAGCCACCGATGGCCTCCACAGCGCCTTCACTGTTAGTGTTGAACATTAAGGAACAACAAACGGTTGCTTTTAACTGTGGCTTCTCTCAGCTACCATCAGATTAAGACACAATAAGGGTTCGATTATCTTCTCGATTCGTTGTTTGGGCTGAAAAATGTCCGTCAGTGTTTCCTTAAAAGTCTTGTTTTGTCCAAAGTTATTCATTTTACTGACACAGAAGAACAATAAAACCTGAAAATATACACAAGAACCTCTAAATGAACATCACGCAGCAAAAGATTTGACAGAAACTCGTTGGAGGCAACCAAACTGGAGCAAAAAGTCTGGTTTAATTCTGAACGCTCTCTCTCGACGGATTTCTTGTTTTCTCCATAAATTGAAAATATTTAGTTTACTTGTGTTGAGTCAACGTCATTCTTTAAATCAGTACATTAGATTTCTTGCATTGCGATCAAGCATTTACTTAAGTGTAGATTGACTTATGTTTTAATCAATGTTGTGGGATATCTTCCCCATCCTGCATTATTTTATGATGGTCATTTTGGAAATCATCGTTCGTGCTGCTGGTCAGACACTTGAGAGTCTTCTGAG